AGAAAAACATGATGGACAGAAGTCAAGGGGTGTGTTTGGAAGTTGGAAGTTTGGCCTGAACTTTGCTCCCAAGGACCAAAGAAGGAGCTGGATCCGACCATGGACTCTCCTTCCTTGGAAGTTTTGAAGCAGAGGGTGGATGGCCATCTGTTGGGATTCTTTAGCTGAGATTCCTGCATTGCAGAGGGTTGGACTAGAGGACCTTGGGGTCCCTTTCCAAGTCTCCCATTCTATGCTTCATTGGAGGTTTTTAAGAAGAGGTCGGACATTCAGGGATGGACAACAGCCAGATGTGGGAGTCCCAGCCTTGTATCCCAGGCATCCTAAGCCCTTTTAAAATGTGGGTTTTTTTGGGAGGGCAGAGGCTGTTATTGGGTTGTTGTTTTTATTTTGATTATATATATTGTGGTTTTATATTTTGATTTTGCTCTCTGAACCACCCTGAGACCTCCAGGCATAGGGCTTTATATAGAGTCAATAAGTAAATTTTAAAAAATAAAAAAAATGGAGAATGCAGAGAAATGCCATCCTCAGTACTGTGAACGGGATACATGGCGGTGGGATTTTGTTTCCTGGCGGCTTCTAGAAACAGAGACTGGTGGAACCTGCGATGGGGAGGGTTTTCTCAAGCCCACCCTCTGGCCGCTATGGGTGGGTCTGGGCTGCTTGATTCCTGCCACTCTCTTCTGGTTCTCCCCCTGAAGGGAAGTAGCGCCTTGTGGCTTCGGAGCCACTTCAAGTGAATTTCCACCCCATCTTTGAAAGGCTTCTCCAACAGAGGGAAGCTCTCTGGGGTTGGTGGAGGGGAGAAAGGTTGCTCTGAGCCTTAAACCTTTTGCCCTTTGACATGTTTTGGGGAAGGTGAGCTTCTGTTGCACATGGAACCAACTTGCTCCCCGTCTTTGAGCAGAAACTTCTCTACTCATAAACAAATTGTCTGTGCACAAGCCAGGCTAGCATTCTAGCAGCTTTATTATTCTTTATCAATATTTGTTTGTTTGATCTGTTTCATAAAATCCATGCCCCACTTGATTGGGCAAATAACTCCCATCTCTAACGATGTAACTCCATTTAAGTCTCCCATTAGTATACAGTGGTACCTCTGGATGTGAACGGGATCCGTTCCGGAGCCCCCTTTGCATCCTGAAGCGAACGCAACCCACGTCTGCACGTGTGCTGGTCGCGATTCGCTGCTTCCATGCATGTGCGTGACATCATTTTGAGCGTTTGCGCGAATGGCAAAACCCGGAAATAATGCGTTTTGTTACTTCCTTTTTTTATATATATAAATTTTTATTAATTTTCCAACATAAATAAAAAACAATACAATAAACAATACATAAACACACAAACATATAAACACGTATAATTTCACAACCTCTTTTTCATAAACCTTACTTCCCCGGCTTCCCCATACCTCCCCCTTCTGCATCCCTATTTCAAAATTTCTTCAGCAACCCCTCGCTTCAATTGACTGATTACTCATTTTCTTCCCCCCCCTTTCTTCTATTACTTAATCAATTTACAGCTGTAATTCTATATTTTCTTAACCTTGACATTTTAGCACTCATCAATTTTACAACAATTCTTAAGGTAAACTTTAAATTTCGTTTTGTTACTTCCAGGTTGCCGCGGAGCGCAACCTAAAAACTCTCAGTTTCCTTCTTATTGTAATTTCTTTGACCCCCAGAAGGTCTCACTGTCTCTTTTCTCAGTTCTTTCTTTAGCTGTCCCTTCTTGCTCGCTTGCTTTCCTCCTTTCCTTCCTCCTCCTCCTTTGGGCGTGGGCAGCGTGAGCTAGCAGTTTTCCTACGCCATATTGCCCTTTCTTTTCAAGCCACCTTCCAGGATCGTTCCCCTCTCAGTCCTGCCTTCTCCTTCTCCTCCGCCACCGTAGACGCTGTCGTTCTCTCGCACTTCTCCTTCGCCGTCCACCCTTTGCCCGCTGTCTTCTCCGTTCTGCTCCGCAATCTCAAAAGGTGTCGGGCTCTAGGACTGGGGCTGGCCGTGTGGGACGCCAGCGTAGGGCCACATGGGGTTGGGTTTCTCGCCCCGCTTGCCTCCGCGCTCAGATCTTTTATTCCTCCTCTCCAGTTTGGACCACAAGGATTAAGACCTGTGCAAGGACAACAAAAAGGAAATGTCCCTTAGGGACTCGGGCGCCTCCAGGTGCTACTTCCCCTGCCACCACTGGCGGAGGAAGGTGGGGTGTGGGGGGGGGTATCGCCCCGAGTGTCATCCCAGGGGGGGTGGCAAAATCCCCTGGGCGGATCGGTGCAAGCCTCCCAACTCCTCCTCATCTTGGTTCAGGGTGGACACAGCTGCGATGCTGCCGCATCCAGCGCCTGAGCCACGTGCAGAGTGGCCTCCTTTCCCCCTGCACCCCACTGCTGCCTCTTGTATTGGGTTGCTCTGGTGGCACTGGTGGTGCTGGCGGCAGCGCTCTTCTGAAGATCTTGCGAATCCGGGAGATGATGGAACCCAGGCAAGTGGGGGTCTTCGGAGGCCTCTCTTCCTCACAGTCCTGTGAGAAAAGTAAACAATTCACCTCCAGATTCTGGGAAAATGCCGCAATCATTAATCAATCAATCAAACAAACAAACAATTGATTGATTAAATCCGTACGCCGTCCTTCATCTGAAGCTGTCAGGGCGGCTTACAGCATAAAAATACAAAATAAAAACACAACATATGTATTAAAAACAAAAACGAACTCATAAGCCAACCTCCCAATCCACAAGCATGTTGAAAATGCCATGCGTTGGCCAATTAGCCCAAGGCTGGTTCTAGAGCAGAACTTTCCATGTTGGTGACACACTTTGGAGACATGCCTCATTTCGCAACACAGGGATTCAGTTCAACTAGCCCTTTTCCAGCCCTGGGAGGAGCACACAGTTTGGAAAGCTCTGTTCTAGAGAAACGTCTTTGCTTGGCACCTAAAGATACATAATGAAGATGCCAGATGAGCCTCCCTGGGAAGAGCATTCCGCAAGTGGGGAGCCACCACAGAAAAGGCCCCTTCTTGTGTTGCTGCCCTCCAGACCGTTTGTGAAGGAGAAGGGCCTGTGTGGTGGCAGGCTGTCATAATCCCTCCTTTTCTTTTTGGGGGCAAGGCGTTATATGAAAGGGTTGTAGTCAGGAGGGAACACTCCTCTCCCAAGTTCTCATGTGGTCAGCCTTGGAGAGATCTCAACGAGACACAAAACCAAGAACAAGAGGGTGGGGGGAAGGTATCGGAGGCAGGAAAACCCCAGAGAGAACCGGCTTTGCAAAGTGCCAACATGGTTTTATTATCGCCAAACCCACTTTGCAATTAATAACTTCATTTGGCAGGAGGCACCTGGAAACGCATTCAAAAGAGATATCTTACAAAACAAACACCAAACCAAAAGCAACCCAGGAGAATTATCTCCACCCCCATCGTTCTGAGATCCAGTGCTGAGGGCCTTCTGGCGGTTCCCCACTGCGATAAGTGAAGTTACAGGGAACCAGGCAGAGGGCCTTCTCGGTAGTGGCACCCGCCCAGTGGAACGCCCTCCCGCCAGATGTCAAAGAAATAAACAACTATCTGACTTTTAGAAGACATGTGAAGACAGCCCTGTTCAGGGAAGCTTTTCATATGACATGAATGAATGTATGTTTCGTCTGACCTCGATTACGCTTGCCTCCAGGTGTTCTCCAGGTGGGGTGCACGGCAAATAAAGGGCCTCCCCGTCCTCCTCTGGGGGGCTCTCTGGTACTTCCTGCGGCTCTTCCTCCTCGATAGCCACTTCAGAGGCTGCCTGCCAGCAGAGACAGGACCCCAGAGGTGGTGGCATTGGTGGTGGGGAGAGGGGAGAAAGAGAGCAGCCCAGAATGAGACAGGAACCCACATTGAGTCGCTAGCCAGGGAAGCGCTACAGCCCTGGCGCCATGGGGGGCTGGTCCATCAGGACAAGTAGGGCAGCAAGCATACCCTTAGCAGCCCCCTGCCTGCCTGCCTGCCTGCCCCCTTGCTCAAGACTGGTCCAGAAGGTGGCCTGGCTGGCCAGCCAGCAGCCTCCTCCTCCTCCTCCTCCCCAGCCTCAGGGTTCTCCAGCTCAGCAGGGCTTCCCTCCTGCTCTGTCTGCTACGTACCTCATTGAGGGAGTCCCAAAGGGAATCCAGGGAGGACAGGGAGGAAACACTAGAAAATGGTGACATACTTGGAACCTGCAAGGAAAAGATGCAAAAAACGAGCAATTAAAAAACGCAACCAAACGTTAAAACTCAAGGCACCCATAACTGAAACAACAGTCTCATCCTACGGTTGATATGCCCCCCTCCCCTTCTGCCAATCACCACTTAGGCCACGGCCACCTACCCAGTCAGGGCTGAGGAGATCCAGCCGTCTTGCGGTCGTCTCCTCCTCGCCTTTTCCTTCGTCCTCCTTGACATTGAGTATGTCCTCCTCGGTGGCTGACTGCTAGCAGAGACAGGACCCCAGAGTTGACGGTGGGGAGAGAGGAGAAAGAGAGCATCCCAAAATGAGAGAGGAACCCAGAAGGCAAACTCTCCTGCCCACATTGAGTCGCTAGCCAGGGAAGCCCTACAGCCCTGGCGCCATGGGGGGCTGGTCCATCAGGAGGAGTGGGGCAGCAAGCATGGTCTGCCCTTAGCAGCCCCCTGCCTGTTTGCCCCCTTGCTCTCAACCGTCCAGAAGGTGGCCTGGCCGGTCAGCCAGCCAGCATCCTCCTCTTCCTCCTCTTCCTCCTCCTCCCCAGCCTCAGGGTTGCCCATGTGCAGCTCAGCAGGGCTTCCCTCCTGCTCTGTCTGCTACGTACCTCATTGAGGGAGTCCCAAAGGGAATCCAGGGAGGACAGGGAGGAAACACTAGAAAATGGTGACATACTTGGAACCTGCAAGGAAAAGATGCAAAAAACGAGCAATTAAAAAACGCAACCAAACGTTAAAACTCAAGGCACCCATAACTGAAACAACAGTTCCATTCTGCGGTTGATATGCCCCCCTCCCCTTCTGCCAATCACCACTTAGGCCACGGCCACCTACCCAGTCAGGGCTGAGGAGATCCAGCCGTTTTGCGGTCTCCTCCTCGCCTTTTCCTTCGTCCTCCTTGACATTGAGAATGTCCTCCTCAATGGCTGACTGCTAGCAGAGACAGGACCCCAGAGTTGACGGTGGGGAGAGAGGAGAAAGAGAGCATCCCAAAATGAGAGAGGAACCCAGAAGGGAAACTCTCCTGCCCACATTGAGTCGCTAGCCAGGGAAGCCCTACAGCCCTGGCGCCATGGGGGGCTGGTCCATCAGGAGGAGTGGGGCAGCAAGCACAGCACATTCACTCTCAAGGCACCCATAATTCAAACAACAGAACAGCGGTATAGCCAGCTGCTTGGGTGCCCGGTTCAACACGGGGGTCCTGTGGGCTTTCTGGAGCCTATCCTCTGCCTCCCCCCCAGCTGTAGGGCGGCTGAGGGAGAGGCAGGGGGCAGACGCAAGCCCCACGCTTCTGTTTCAGGCAGCACCCAGCCTGCAGGGGCCCAAGCCACCAAGTCACCCCCAGGAGAGATGCGTGGATCAGGCACTCTGCACCCCCCCCCGGTAAGTGCCAGCCCCCGTGGTGCGGCGCCCAGTGCCAGCCATGTTTTTTGACTCAACTAAAAGGTTTGGTGAGCCCAATTTTTATTTTTATTTTAAACACGGCTTTCTGTCCTTTTGCCACCCCCCTCAGTGATGACACCTGGGGCGGACCCCCCACCCCCACCCCCCACCCTCCTTTCTCTGCAACTGCAACAGAATAAAAGGACTCAAAACTCCCTTAGCAGTTTCCTGCTGGTCCCCTCACCATTTCCCCACACATCAGTTTTCAGACTTTGCTTTTTCGGTGTCCAATAAGAGTTTTTCCTGATTCACTTGCAGAGAAACCACCAAAAGGCTGTTGGCCTCAACTGCAAAGTGAGGCTGGGATTCTGAGCCGATGTCACAGCCAGGTTCCGATCAGTCCATTTCCTCCAAGGGGGGGGACCTGTTTCCCCTGAGGGTGACCGCTGAACACACCACCCAAGGGAAAAAGAAGGAGAAAAGCAGAGAAATCTTTTAATTCTGTAGCAAGAAAGAATGAGTGCCAGGAGTTTTCTTTTCCCTGCACTCCTCCATTCCCACACCTTTTCATTACTATTATTATGCTAGATTTAATGAACACTCATATCAGAGTGCTCTGTAAATTGGTGGCCATAGTCTTTATATACTAACCTTTTATGCTCTTCCACATCTGTTTAATGCTCCCAAACCCTTCTTTTAGCGTCTTTTAGACTTTTATATATACTTTGTGTTAAATACTTTTTCGCTTTCCGAAATGTTTTACAGACTGAAAATGATTGTACCCCACTCTACTGATGCTGGTCTACTACTGTAATAAAGATTTGATTGATTGATTGATTGATTGATTGATTGAAATGAAGTATCCTATAGAAATGCAATGACTGGACACTAATGTAATGTATTCCCCTCCCCCCAAATTCATACTTTATTACTTATTAATATTAGTAAGAATAATGAAATAAGTCAAGCCAGAGGCTGCTCCCAGCTTAAATTTATATAGCACCCTTCATTGGAATGCTACAAGTTGAATCGTAATAAGAATGAGAGTTTCCACCAATTTGAAGTGATGAAAGTTTAAGTAGGATGCAATCTTGACTAATTAATATAAATGCTTTGTCAGTGGCTGATCTGTAAATTATTTTTACTTGCCCTTTTGATCTTGGCTTTGCTCTATAATGGGGACCTGAATGGGAGGAACCTGAGTTGGAGGAGGAGGCCTCTTGCTTTTCCTTCCTGACTGAGCATAAGATGCCTCCTCTTAAAAGGTTTGGCAGGCAGGGAATACAACTTATCTGGCATCGTCTCATTGCTTTCCTCCAATGCTAAACTTGTTGCTTGCTCACTCGTAATCTGGTGATCCACTCAACATCAGTGCACAACATGTCACATCCAGGCCAGTGTAATAAAACCCATTGGACTCCAGTCAAGGCTTGGCTAAGGTCAGTTGCTACTTTTTGGAACAGAGAGCAGAGCTTACACAATACAGAAATTAAACCAACAGACTACGGAAGATGTCTTAAATGAATTTCTCAGTTTATTGATATACAAAGCTTAGGAGAACGAAATGACATGAAGTGTACTTATGAATGATACAGCATACATGTAGAAAATGGAGAAAATTCAATAAATAGAAATGACATAACTAGAAACTATTGTTGAATATCAGAATTGATATGGTTAATAGGTAGTTAGGACAAAGGAATCACACTCAAAGACCTAACTCCTCTCTCCCTCCAGCCTATCTTGTTGTGAGATAAATATAACTTCTCAAAGCAAAAAATGATTAAATGATAAAACTTTACAAACTAAGGGCAGTAGACCAGGACTCATTGTAGTCCTTGGCAAAGCAAGGTAGCAAAACATTTCCTCCCATCTTACGGTTCATGTCAACAGGACTACACAAAACCTGGGCTAAGAATGAACACAATCTCTTTCACAGATGAAGAATGAGCAACATGGATGAGCAAGTGTGTTTCCTTTATGCACTTCTGGGCATCGGGAACATGGAATATTTTAAGAATCAACTGTTCCCTTAATTTCTGGTTGTCAGGTGCTCCTTTGTGTTCAGATCAGACCTCAGCACAATCATGTAGCACTTGGGAAGGAAGATGCAGCCCAGAAGCCCAGCACTGGAGGCCAACATAGAGAAGATCTGCACGGCCACCATGTACTTGCCCTTGGTGCTCAGGTAGGTGGGCACAAAAGACACCCAAACACTGCAGAAGACCAGCATGCTGAAGGTGATCAGCTTGGCTTCGTTGAAGGAGCCGGGCAACTTCCTGGCTAGGAAAGCCACCGTGAAGCAGGTGGCAGCCAAGAAGCCCATGTAGCCGAGGGCAACGTAAAACATGGCCACAGACCCTTCGTTGCATTGCAGGATGATCTCTTCCTCCTGGGAGAGCATGTCGGGCTCTGGGAATGGGGGAGAAGAGCCCAGCCAGATGGTGCAGATGAGAACTTGCCCCCCAGAACAGGAGATGACAAGACTCTTGCCCAGCATCTCCTCACCCTGTTCCCGGGCTTTGTGGCAAGAAAGGCCAGCACCACCGTGATGGTCTTTGCCAAGACAGAAGAAACAGCAGCTGAGAAGATGATGCTGAAGGCCGTTTGTCGGAGAAGGCAGGTCTCTTTCCTTGGGCGCCCGATGAAGAGGAAGGAGGACAGAAAGGAAAGCAGGAGGGAGACGAGGAGGATGTAGGAGAGGTCCCGGTTGTTGGCTTTGACTATGGGAGTGTCCTTGTATTTAATGAAGATTCCCAACACAATGCCTGCAGTTATAGATAAGAAGAGGGTAACGGAAGCTAACACCATTCCCAAATATTCTTCATAAGCCAGGAAGATGATAATCTTGGGGACACATTGATCTCTGTCCTTGTTTGGATACTGATCTTCTGAGCATTTGGTGCAATGTTCTGCATCTGAGGAAGTGGAAAAAGAGTGGCTGCAGCATCAGTTACATCCCTAATGATCTGTGCTCTTTTACGTTTTGAAAAACTCTGTGGTGGACTTCAGTAAATAAGAATGTTAAAATAGGTAAAGCAAAATTGTGATGTAGGATAAACTGAGTAGCAATGAGCACTCCGCTTCTGTTAACTGCATTGTTTGGTCCTGCCTAATCCTGAAGAAACAGCTCTTAAACTTGACATTTGAAATGCAGTTTTCTGTTGCTTCCATGCAATGTTCATAGTAGTGAGATCAAAACAGTCCATTGATTATATTGTAATAATTTTCATATGAAGTATTGTTCATTTTTTATTGTGCTTTTGCTATTAAAAATTTGCTGGTTTGCATCACCTGTCCATTACTCTTTATAAATGTCAACATGATTTCCTTTTTGGTGTGACTTGGTATAAAAAATAAAGAAAGAATGCTTTATGGGCATTCCTCTCACAGCTGCCCACTTTCAACCCCAGAGATTTCTTCCTTATGACCACTCCTTTCAACTCCCTTCCTGGATGTAATAAAGTTGATTAATCCTATGGATGTCGAGGAAGAATCCATATTCCCCAATGTCTGCAGAAATCTCACAAAAAGTGGGTGAGACTGGATTACTGCCCTGTGTTTACTCTCTCCAGAAATACCTTTCCCCTTGGAGTCACCCACCTTCCTGGGCGGAGAAGGTCCCTTCCGCACACCGAGCACAAGCATAGCAGCAAACGGGCTTTTCTTCTAGAACCACCTTGGCATATCCAGGTCGACATCTCTCTGTACACCTGGAATGAGGTACGGCCTAACCAGAAAGACAAGAAGGTGCAACAAAGAGGAACAGTTAGGAGTATTTGTGGGTATGTCATTCACTCATAGGGTGAATTGAAACAGATATATGGTCTGCAGCCTTTGACGCCCTCATCAGGGTCCCTTCAACCCCCACTGACCATTGGGGTGACCAGAATATCTTGTTCTTCATAATTCGTTCAGGACAACTGAGGTTTGCGCCACAGGACTCTGATTCCTCTTCTCCGTTTACCTGCTTCCCTGCTTAATAAATCTTCATATTTTTTTTATAATAAATTTTTATTGATTTTCCAAACACATAATAAAAACAAACAATACACAAAACAAAAACATACAAACATATAAACATGTATAATTTCATAATCTTATTTTCATACACCTTACTTCCCGGACTTCCCCATACCTCCCCTTTTCTGCATCCTTGTTTTACATTTCTTCAGCAACTCCTCCAATTAATTAATTATTTAAATCACTTTCATTAGATTCTTTTTTCTTTAACTTACCTGCTTAATAAATCTTCAAAGAAAATGGCAATGGAATCTGAAATGTGATTTCCCTAGTTATTTCTAGTTTACATGCCATTTCTTAACGTTAATCTTATATTACAATAGGTTTTTTTTTTAATTATCATCTTTCACCAACAACTGTGCACTTCTCTATTCCTGCACATACAATAGTTTAACTATTGCAACATCTACAAGTGAGCTTACTCCACAAATTTAAAAAATCCACAATAAATCAGTAATTATCATTTCAAAAATAAATCGCTTTCCATCCTTCTGCATGTATGAAAACCCAATAGTTCCCTTTTACTA